AGGGCAGCAAAGGGGGGGAGAGGCTGACTGTGGAGCCAACAGACACCACTCATCCCCGACTGTGATGCTGAGAAGCCACCGGGAGCCCCTCGCTTGCTGTGAGCTGGAACAGCACACAGGCACTCAGGCGCACCGAGGTGCTCTGGGCAACAGGCTGTCTACACCCCGCTGAGGGCTCCTGCTGAGGGCTCCCCGCTGAGGGCTCCTGCTGAGGGCTCCCCACTGAGGGCTCCCCGCTGAGGACTCCCCGCTGAGGGCTCCCCGCTGAGGGCTCCCCGCTGAGGGCTCCCCGCTAAGGGCTCCCCGCTGAGGGCTCCCCGCTGAGGGCTCCCCGCTGAGGGCTCCTGCTGAGGGCTCCCTGCTGAGGGCTCCCCGCTGAGGGCTCCTGCTAAGGGCTCCCTGCGGAAGGGTCCCCGCTGTCGGCTCCTGCTGAGGGCTCCCCGCTGAGGGCTCCTGCTGAGGGCTCCCCGCTGAGGGCTCCCTGCTGTGGGCTCCCTGCTGAGGGCTCCCCGCTGAGGGCTCCTGCTGAGGGCTCCCCGCTGAGATCTCCCCGCTGTGGGCTCCCTGCTGAGGGCTCCCCGCTGTGGGCTGCCCGCTGAGATCTCCCCGCTGTGGGCTCCTGCTGAGGCTCCCCGCTGTGGGCTCCCTCTGTGGGAATGGAGCCCAGAGCCTTGTTCTCAAGCATGGAGGGGAGCACTGATCTCACTGACCCTCCACGAACCCAACCCAGAAAGGGGATTCAATGAAACTGCTCCCCAAGTGTCCCTTCCCCAAGACTGAGGGGGAGCATGAGGAACAAAGTCAGAGGAACATAATCTGAGCCCAGGTTAGTGTGGTTCTAAAGTCTTGTTATGTGCCTGACACACAAGTCCCCCTCACCAGACCGGGGACCCCCCAAGGGAGGGCGGAAGTGGACCCGGCAGGCTGCCCGGCCTGGCGGCACAGACAGGAACACACCAGGAAGCTGCCGAGGCCTGATTCTGCCAACATGTGTTGCTGATGTGGGTCAGGTCCCCCTACAAATGTGCCTGCGCAGCCGTCCCAGACCACAGCAAGAGTGCCAGCCCCAGGCCCCAGGGCTTGGCCCGCCCCCAAAGATCTGCCCCAGGCTCTGGAGGAGAACTTGGGCCATTTGGTGGACTAATTCCAGGCCCTGGGTTCCCGGGGCTTCTGGGTGGTCCCGGGCCCCAGAGTCGGGGTGCCGGTAACAGGGGGCCGTGTGCCCAGGACACAGCCCGCTGCCCAGCACTGCCTCAGCCCTTGGTCAACACTCCAGACCCGCTTCTCCGTACAGGAAGTGCTGAGTTTGGGCCACACGACCGTTCCCCCCACACAGTATAAGCTCTGCAACGGCCGCCTGCTCTCCAGGTCCCCCCCGTCCCACCCCCCTCCAGCAGGGCCGCCCAGGCCTGGGGGGCAGGGGGCAGACGAGTGTCCTCACACTGGTGACCCCCCCACAGGCACAGAACGGGGGCCGGGCCGTCCCTACGGAAACATGTGGGCCAGGGACTGGGGCAGGGTGGTCAGGATGTGCAGGCCAGGTGGGTACAGCTCCCTGAAGATGCATGGTGTTGGGGATCCCAGGGGCTCCTCAGGGGAAGGGCAGAAGGCACCCATGCACCGCCAGTCACCCTGGGCTCCCCAGGGCCCTCTCTCTGAGGCTGGGGGCCTCACCCAGGGAGGCAGCTCTCCACTCTGTGGGGGGTAGCGGGGTGGGGCTCTGAGAGGGTCCTCCCTCTGGGTCTGCAGGACCCCAACTTGGGGCAGGCCTGGGTCCACAGGGAGAATACCAACCCTGAGAAAGCATCAAGCTCAACGTGGGAGACCAGCCCACACCTGCATCTCCCAGGCCCCAGGGAGGGCTGGTGAGGGCCCCACTTTGACAGTGTGATGGCAGCCACTCGGGTTGCTGGACAACTTAAGTGGGTATGCCCATAGAGTGGGGACAGCTGTGTGGCTGGGCTCGCTAACCGTGGGGAGTCGTAGGTGGTCAGTGGCGTCTCTGCAGCTCGGAGGCCATGCCCACTGACCCCAGGCAGCCACATGCTGGGACCCCACAAGGCTGAAGGGCTAAGCTGGGCCAGAACAAGAAAGTTCTCATCAGTGGACCCAGGCCACAGTGTCCTAGGTCTGCCACAGACAGTGGTGCAGAAGATCCTGGTGTGTAACTTAGGGCTCCAGGGAAGGCCAAGCTCTGTCCACTCACCTGCATTGACTGCATTGACTGTCTAAAAATGGAGGCTGCAGGGGAGTGGGTGCAGGTGCAGAGGTCGGCCACAGACCCACAGGCACCTGCACCCAGTGCCTCCCACCTTGTCCTCAGAGCCGCCTGCAGCCCCGCGAGGCACGCCCAGAACCATTGACAGCAAAGTTCTCTGCACAGGCCTGGACATGTGGGCTTGGCAGGGCAGCCCAGGGAAGGCCGTGTGGGCTGACAGCTCAGAGAGGAAGCAGTGACGGAGCCTGTGTCCCAGGTGGAGGGGATGCATGAAGGCTAGCTGGACTGGGTGACCCAAGCCAGGGTGTGACACAAAGCCCAAATCCTAAGGGGCAGCCCTATGTATGTCCAGGTGACCAACTGGGATGGGGCCAGGACCTTGGGGCACAGAGGGATGGAGAGGCCCTCAAACCCACTCAGGGTCAGATGGAGTCAGTGGGAACTGCACTGGCCCTGGGCTGGCTCTGGGCTGTGAAGCCCTGGGCGATCGAGCCTGAGCAGGACGGAGGCTGTCACCTGCCTGTCGTCTATCAAGTGACGCCAGCTGGTCCTGGGGTTCAAGTTCTAAACTTGAAGCAACAGAAGGTTCTGGAATCCAGCGATCATCGGGGTGTCCCAGAGGGGGGATCTGGCTTCCAGTCAGTGTTCCACTAATACCCATTGAGTGGGTGGGGGTAGAGCGTTCACAAGTGGCCCCCAAAGATATCCAGGTCCTTATTCCTAGAGCCTGTGACTGTCATCTTATATAGAGAAGGGGTGCAGATGAATTTAGTTAAGGTCCCAAGATGGGGGGCTCTCCTGGATTATTATCGAAGCCCTCAAGGTCATCACAGCATCCTTACAGGAGGGAGGGCACCACCCTGCCAGCTCTGAGGACACAGGGAGAGGCCCTAAGCCCAGCGACGTGCAGGGTGTGGCTCTCTTCTCTGGGCTGGACTCTGCCTTTTGGGGTCAGAGGACCCCTCTCAGGACCGGGTGCCCCCTCTCAGGACTAGACACATTTCCACCATGCCCTTGGGGCAAAGCGAAGATCCAGAAAGTTGAGCTGGCATCCTGGGGGCACTGAGGAAGCTGTGTCCCTCCCCGCAGCAGACTGACACCAGCCACTGAGCCTCGCCTGGGCCCCTGCCCGGCTGGGGGTGGCCCCTGCCCTGAGCCTGAACCACTAGTGTGCATGGGGCTTGTAACTGGTGCGGGGGGGTACCCCTGTGGGTGCAGGAAAAAGTGTTTTGCCCACCCTGGTGAAGCGACGAGGACCAGAGTGAGCGGTCACCGGGACCAGGGCCCCCTGCATCGCGGCACCGTTTTCGAGCCCATGCTCGCAGAGCCGGCAACGGCAACGTGGGCTGTGCTCCTGAGCACGTGGCCTGGCGAGGGTGAGGTGCCAGCGCTCCTGAGGCGGCTGGAGTTGGGAAAGGACAGACATGTTTGGGCAGAGGGGCCCTTCGGGGACTGCCTGAGGGAGGCTGGCACCAGACGGCACTGTCCCCACCCCCAAAACAAACCCAGAGGCCGGGAGGGCAGGTGGAAGATGTGACGTGACCCGAGAGAGATGCGCTCGGATGGTTTATCGCACCGAGAGCGGAGCTGGGCCAGCAGCCCCCTCTGTACATCGGCTGTGCTCTGGCACTCCCAGCACGGATGCTGCGGCGAGAGGCCTCTGCACCCCGCAGGGCGTCTGTCCTCAGCACTTGGCCTGGCCTGTTTATTCCCCACAATTCCTGGAGATCAAAGCCCTTAAAACCCTCAAATGGATTTTAAAGCTCAGGGATGGAAGTTTCTGGAAATGGTTACCTGATGCCACCATGGCTCCAGAGGTGAGAGTCCCCGGGGTGAGGGGGAGGAGCTGGGAAGGAGGAATGTTCCAGAGGGGGCTCCCCAACTTTGTCCTCCTCACTCTGCCAAAACCACTCCCCCAAATTAGGAGGACTATAGGGACCCTGCCCTCTGGGGCCCAGCACTGTGGCTGCTGTGGCTGGACAGGGGCCAGGGGCGGCCAGGGGCTCCCTCATCAGGCTGCAGCCCCATGGGAAAGCCCACCCTGTCCTGGGACCACTGGGACATCAGGCAGAGGGGCGCTCACATGCTGAGGGCTGCCACCCCACGACGCTGCCCCCGTGGCTCCGGAAGGGCCCTGGAGGACCGGAGGGGAGAGGCCGATCTCCCAGACCCCATGGTGGTCCGGCGGGGAGGGGAATGGGCTCCTGGACCAAGGTGGACCCCAACACCGACTACTCGGACCTCGAACATGTGCATCAGGCCAGATGTGACCCTGCTCCGCCCCCTTCTCCTCCCAGCACTAACCACGCAGCAACCTCTTCCAGCAGCCAGCAGGGGATGTGCGGGTGCCTGGGCCTCAGCCAGCAGGCGATGTGTGGATGCCTGGGCCTCAGCATGCCCAGGGCACAGTGGAATAGTACTAACAGTACAGACACCAGGCTGGGGCCTGCAGCCACAGGAAACACTCAGCCCACAACCACGCCCCTCCCCGAGCATCCTTCATCTGCTGCAGAAATGTGCGCCCCTCGCCCAGTAAAGCTGGGGACCTCCTGGAGCCAAGGCCCTGCCCTCTGCCGCCCCAGGAGGGGATGCTGGGTACTACCTCCCCTGGCAGAGGCTCTGGGTCTCCTAGAGGCATCCCCCTGTGCCTCCAAGTGACTCTGCTGTTTCTGTGGCTTGGGCAGGGCAGGAGCCAGGTGCCAATGTGGATGCGCCGACTCAGCGGATCGCAGCCCGGCTCACATTGGGGATGACTGGGCAGAATGCACTCGTCAGCACAGAATAGGTGGCACATGTTTCCATTTCTGGCAATAAAGTTTAGCCGACTGGGTCAGCAAGCGGATGCCAGGGTGGGAGCTGTCAGAAGAATTCACATCTCCGCCCGGATGGCTTTGTGGACAGGGCTCCAGACTTCCATAGACATGGTCACTGCCACAGGGACCTGCTTCTGGACTCAGTGAACCATGCTTCAACGCACCCAAAAAGAGCAATGCAGGTCCATTTTCACACCAAGAACCAAAGTCATGAAGGGCACTCGAGGAAGCCAAATTCCGTGAGCTCGTTGAATTAGGTGGTGTTTATAGCTCCTGCAGGCCCTTAGGCAGTGGGGAGAAGACTCAGTTAAGTACCGCTCCAGCCAGACTCCCTCTGAGTCTGCTGTTAGCGTGCTGGGTGGTACCAGCCATCCCCCATGCTCAAGGTGACCCTCAAAGTCTGGAGAGCCGCTCTGAAGCCCCCCTGCCCCGTGCCCTTCCGCCCTGCCCCAGAGACACCTGGTGCTGTGTTCACACAGACCCCTCCCTGGTTGGTGCTTACACTGGAGAGACAGTGGCTGGACCCCCCCCTCCAGGTCCAAGTGCACATCTCCAGAAGAGCCAGCTCAGACCTCCCTTTGGAGAGCCCTCCCTGTGGAAGCAGGTGTAGGAGGCAGCGAAGAGGAAGGGGGAGAGCTCAGGCCGGGCTGCAGGTAGAAGCATGAAGTGAGAGGACCAGGCGGAGCCTCCAGGCTGGCCACCTGCTCCAGACACCACCCACTCCGTTCATGGGTGCTGGGCCTCACCCCAGACTGGCAGACAGATGTGCTCTGTCCTTAAGGTCAAAATATCACCTCTGAGCCCCAGGAGAAAGCTGGCCACATTGTGCACCCAGAAGGCTCAGCTCTGACCCACAGCCCTGAGAGGCATGGGCATCACCCTACCACTGCCACACAGCACACACGGGATCCACTTGCACGCTGGGCACCCAGACAGCAGGGGCTGGGCTCTCCCAGCTCCAGGCAGGAGGACTGCGCTCCCTCCCCCTCCCTGCACAGCTAGCATCCTCTAAAGGCCCACCTTTCTGATTTCAAGAATGCGGCCCAGAGAACCCACAGTTCATTGACTCGGGGAGGCCACAAAGGCCACTCAGGTATAGAGACTGAGTCTTTCCCAAGGGACTGCGAGCATGTGCGGCTGAGGGGTGTGCAGCGGGTCAGCTCCATCCTCAGCAAACCCTTTACATCCAAGCCCACCGCTGCCCACAAACTGCCGCAGTGCTTTCCAGCCTGGAATGCCCAGCTGCTCCCACTGAAGGGCAGACGCAGGAGCTTCTGGAGGAAACATCCTGGAGCAGTCCTGGCTCACAGGCTGGGTGCCCAGCTCCTTTCCATCTGGGCAGCTGCTCCAGTCAGCACGGGCACAGGGCTTGCTGCACCCAGGACCCAGCCCGTAATCAGGTGTGACCCCTGGGGAGCACAGACATGGCCGCCACACCTGCACCAGAGACCCTGGGCCCTAGGGCGCATCTATCACGTCTCAGCTGCACTGCACACCCACATGGGTCATCAGTGGTCCTGGTGAGAACTTTCCCTAGCAGCCTGTGGGCTGGGTTCAACCCCCACAGGCCCAGGGACTTTTGATGCCCAGGCGAGTCCAGGGTCCTGGCCGGCAGCCTTGGAGCCAGTGTAGGGGCTGGGCGTGGCTTACACAGTGGCCACATGGGCTCTGCAAAGGCACTGAGCATGTCTGGAGCTCTGGAATCCTGGTCAAAGGGGTGGACAGAGCCATCTGGCCAACAGACCCCACTGAGGCCACTCTGGGAGCCCCCTTGCCCTTGGGACAATGGGCAGTCAGAGCTCCAGCTCCCAGGATGAAGGTGGGGGCTATGTGAGCACATGGATCACCCTTGGCAGCCAGGTGCCCTCGGCTTGGGTGCCTCAGTGCACAGGGGCCCCAGGAGCCTTGAGAGGAAGCCCCACCTCTCACTAGAGCCTGGAGGGAAAGTGTCCATCCAGGCAGCTTGCTCTCCAGAGTCACCCCGGCCACAGAAACTGCTCCCAGGCAGGTTCCCACAGACAGAGGTGGGGGAGCCCTCTGCAGTGTTAGGTGGGCTGAGATACGTGCAAGGCTTGAACACAGGCCACCGTTGACAAAGTCCAGAAGACAGGAGAGCAGGGGCAGGGAATGCCGACCCTCGCTGGCCGTGCCAGGGACAGGGAAAACCCCAGAGAGGGCGCAGAGAGCGGAAGGAAGCCACCAGACCCCCTGAAATGGGGAAACCTCAGACGCACTAAGCCCCGTGAGGAGCCACCCTGACCCATGAGGTCCCTGTCAGATTCATCCCTGCTCACCCTGACTTTCAGAACAGAAACCCAGTGGAAATGCGGGGCCTGCCGCAGAGCTGGCCCTGGGCCAGCAAGGGTGGACACGAGTGCCCCCACAGTGACACAGCTGCCCCACGTGGCATGTGCTCCTGGGGCAGGTGAGCTGCTGGGCAGGTCTGGGAAGTGGGGTCTGGAGGCGTCCGTCCACATGCAAAGCACACCCGAGCCGGGGGGCAGCTTGCTGATGGTGACAGAGAAACCCCACTGCCCAGGGTCGAGCAGGAGGCAGGGGCCCGCAAGACACTGGGCTGCCTGCACTGTGTGTGCGCAGGATGGACAGGACCACACACCGGCACTGAGGGCCTGGGGGGAGCCCAGGAGGCCGTTGGGCGGAGACTCAGCGGGAGATGCTGCCATCTCCCTTGGGATTTGTACCAGGTGCAGACGCTGCCCTTGTAATGGGTTCCGACACAGCCCTACTGCTCAGGGGAGGGTCAGGGTTCCAGGGCAGCGCCCACCCCAGGGGCCTAAGGAGCATGGAGCACCAACACGGGCCCCGTGGGCAAGGACGCTGAGGTACAGAGGCAGAAGCTCCGGAAAGGACTGGCCCTGCCCCAGGTGGCAGTGATGTCAAGGCCCGAAGACCCAACAGCACTCAGGGTGGCAGGGGAAGAGGCCGCCCAGCAAAGCACTAGCCCACCGGCTCCAGAATCCCATGCAGAACTTGAGAAAAACAGACACCAAGGTGGGCCGGGCGCTGGGCAGCCCTCTAGAGGTGAGGAGGTGGGACGAGGCTCCACACTCCAGGGGGAGAGCTCCATGGAAGAAGACAGCGTTCAGGCCCAATAATAATCACCCATCACCGTCACAGAGTCTCCTGGAGGGAGGTCAGACTCCCGCAGCCTGCAGCAAAGGTGGGGCCTGTGCAGCCACCACAGACGTTACCTTCCAGGAGCCCTCAGTGCCCCAGCAGCAACCCGGGCAGGTGAAGCGGGGCACCTGGGCCTCCCCTGGGCCTCCCCTGAACCTGGGCCTCCCTTAGGCCTGGGCCTCCCCTGGGCCTCTCCTGTACCTGGGCCTCCACTTGGCCTCCCCTGAACCTGGGCCTCCCCTGTACCTGGGCCTCCCCTGTACCTGGGCCACCCCTGGGGCTCCCCTGTACCTGGGCCTCCCCTGGGCTTCCCCTGCACCTGGGCCTCCCCTGCACCTGGGCCACCCCTGGGCCTCCCCTGTACCTGGGCCTCCCCTGGGCTTCCCCTGCACCTGGGCCTCCCCTGCACCTGGGCCACCCCTGGGCCTCCCCTGTACCTGGGCCTCCCCTTGGCCTCCCCTGCACTTGGGCCTCCCCTGGGCCTCCCTTGAACCTGGGCCTCCCCTGGACCTCCCCTTGGCCTCTCCTGCACCTGGGCCTCCCCTGGTCTTCCCCTGCACCTGGGCCTCCCCTGCACCTGGGCCTCCCCTGTACCTGGGCCTCCCCTGGGCCTCCCTTGGGCCTCCCCTGCACCTGGGCCTCCCCTGTACCTGGGCCTCCCCTGGGCCTCCCTTGGGCCTCCCCTGCACCTGGGCCTCCCCTGTACCTGGGCCTCCCCTGGGCCTCCCCTGGGCCTCCCCTGCACCTGGACCTCCCCTGGGCCTCCCCTGTACCTGGGCCTCCCCTGGGCCTCCCCTGCACCTGGGCCTCCCCTGGGCCTCCCCTGCACTTGGGCCTTCTCTGCGCCTGGGCTTCACCTAGGCCTCTCCTGCATCTGGGCCTCCTCTGCTCCTGGGCCTCACCTAGGCCTCCCCTGGGCCTGGGCCCCCCTGGGCCTGCACTTCCTCACCTGCATGTGCTCCAGGTCCAGCTAGAAGCAGGGGGAATTGGAGCTGCATCTGGGGACAACAAGTGCTTTGGGAGTGGGCGGTCCCTGAGGCCCGTCACCACAATGGCACAATCCCAGGCAGCTCTAGAGAAAATGGGCCCACAGGCAGGTGGCAAAGGGAGAGCCAGTGAGGGGCCAGTGAGGCAGAGCCAGGCACCCTTGCATGTCAAGAGCACAACCCACAGATCAGCCCTGGGCTTCCCAGGCTCCTCCCCCACCGGCCCCGCAGCCCCCCAGGAAGAAGGATTGGGGGTAGGTCTGTGTCACTGTGGTACTACTGTGATGATTATGGGATATGTTACCACAGTATCACAGCACCCGTCAAAAACCCTGTCCCGGGTCCCAGCTGTGGCCCTGCCCTCGGCACACCTTCCCCTGATTCGGAACGGGGCCGCATCACCATGGTATGGTGGTTACCACGGCAGTGCAGCCTGTAACCCAAACCCACCGGGGCGGCAGGCACAACGGAAGGGACAGGGCCCACGGCTTCCGGGACGCCGAGCCAGGACCCTGCCTGCTGACTCCATCAGACCCTGAAACCGACCGGCGGAAGCCGCCCCAAACCTCAGCCAGACCTGCCTGTCTGGGCAGAGACAGCACAGGAGCTGCCCGGTGAGCCGGCCTGCCCCTCCCTGCAGCCACTGGGCTACCCAGCCATAGCACCCCACACCCCACAGTACCCCACATCCCACCCCACCCCACACCCTGCATCACCCCACATCACCGCACACCCCACATCACCACACACCCCACAGCAACCCCTGCACCTCTTCCCCAAGCAGGCTGGGGCCCTGCCTCAAGGGACCTGGGAAGGCGGGAGGGACTCTCCCCTTCAGGGACGGCTGTTCGAACTTGGTTTTGGAAACGTTTCTTCCTGGAGGACGGATACACCCACGTGCCCCTCGACCGGTCTGGCTGGAATGTCCATCCATGCTCAGTGGTCCCCTTGGCCTGGTCCAAACCTGGCCTCACCAGGAGGCCCCAGGGATGCTGGAGACACGCTGCAGACACGGCCCCCCCGAAGTGGACACTCTCCCCCCAGCCTGTGCCGCAGATGTAGGCACGCACCCCAAGTATGTGTGTGAGACCACCGGGGGCAGCCCCCACACCCCCTGTGCCCACACCCCTGCAGATGGTGTCCCTGGGGAGACAGGGCAGGCGAGGGCGGCTGGACCATGCCAGCTGCCCACCACGTGGGGCAGCACTGGGCACCTGTGCAGACACGCCTCGCTGGGCGCCTGGGCCTGGGGCAGGGGAGGGGCCCCACCACACACACAGGGGCTTTTTGACAAGGAACTTTCTACTGTGTTACTACAGTAACTACTACCACAGTGACAGACCCAGTAGCAAAAACCGGCCAGAGCCACCCAGCCCTCCCGCCCGGCTCTTGAGGGTCAGGGTGGGACCCTCCACCTCCTGAGCCACTGGCGGCCAGCTCAGCCCACATCCACCCACAGCGGGGGCTTCAAAGGGCTCTGAGGTGGCCACACAACCCCCACTGGCAGAAACAGACCTGCTCAAGGCGGCACCGAGCAGGAAGGACAGAGTCTACCCTGGACAAGCTCCCAGTGGGCAGGGCCCCCGGAGGCCCTCGAGGGGCTGGCAGAGGAGGGCGCTGGAGCGAGGCCCACACTGGGCTGTGCAGGAGCTCACTGACATTAGAAGCAGGACAGGTTCACAGGGAGCGGGGCACCTCCCAGCACGTGCCATCCTCAAGGACATGGGTCTCATTCCTGGCCGGGCCAGAGGGGGCTCCCAGGGCCTGTCCCCCAGGGGACGGGCTATGTAGGCTCTGGTCATTGCCAGGAGGCTAGAGGGTGAGTCGCCTCCAGGGAAAGCCCCTGCTAGGGGCCCAGAGCTACGTCCCCTCCGTACCTACCTCCCGGGGAAGGACGCCGTCCAGGGCCTCATCCAGCTCTCAGCCACGCGCTGACCCCCTGCTGCACTGGGGGGTGTGACCACATCTACTGCGTGACTTACAGACACAGCCCAAAGCTCCCAGAAGGGGAGCCTGGGAGGCAAAGCAAAGGGCAGTGGCGTTGGGGACTGTGCCCCCCACAGGGCCTGTCTGGAAGCCACTACCTTCCTCCCCACTGCCCCCCCCCCATCCAGTGCCCCTCGGACCTGAGCCGGAGCCCCGGGCCTCTGCCAGCCCACTGCAGGCCCCCGCAGCGGACAGCTTCTCACTGGCCAGCCAGCGCTGCTGTCCCCACCCTGGAGCAGCTGTTCTGAGCCCCGCCGACGCAGCAGACCGCACCTCCTGCCCCGGCGCCCCCCGGTCCTGGCATCCACGTGGCACCAGCCCAGGCATGCTGGGCACGTCCTCTTCCCCCGCAGCCCGCCCAGGGCTGAGGACTGCGGCCTCCAGCCTCCCACGCCAGCAACTGGCATGTGTCCTGGTCCCAGGGCAGCTCCCTAGTGGCCCCTGGGCCCTCCCCGTCCTGAGGAAGTGCCTCCCACCAGCCCCGCCTGCAGGGGCCAGGCCCCAGTTATTGTCACAGGGCATCAGACAGTGGTTATAGCTACGGGTACCACAGTGATGCCCCTCATGGCAGAAACCAGGCCCAGCACCACCTGCTACCTACAGGCCCAACTTCTGCCCCCGGGACTGGCAGCTTACTCTTTTCCGTCTGAGGCATCGACCTCTAGCCTCTGGCCCTGGAGAGATGGGCCCCTCTCGCTGGGGTCTGTGCCCTTGAGGGCCTCCAGGGCTGACGGATTCTAAACGAGGAGGTGGCATCCAGTGTAGCCAGAGGGGCTGTGCTGGGGCTGGGGCCGGGGGGACCACAGGCCTAGCTGCACACAGAAGCTGAGGGGCCAGGACCTGTGAGCCACGGAGCCCGAGCCCAGCAGGGCAGTGTGCACAGAGCCCCGAGGCTGGCACAGGTCACCCCACATCCATCCGCCCACCTGCCCCTCCACAGAGGCCCCATCAGGGACCAGTGCTAGATGCCCGGCTCCTCACCACGAGCTGCAGATGAGTCATGTCAGGGTCAGGACCCAGGGGACCCAGGGCCCCTCCATCAGGCCCCAGCGCCCAGCCCAGCCCACACTCAACCTCCCAGGGGGACCCCTGCCTCAATCTGTCCCTCAGAGGGAGGCTGAAGGGGCCATGGCCTCGGCCAGGACAGGCTGAGCAGCTGTGAGCAGGGCCCTCCCCTGGGCCGCGGGGACAGGCTATATTGTCTGAGCCTTTATCATTGTGGCTACTGGGTGGTACCTCCCACAGCGACATAGTCTACACTCAAAACCAGCCTCCCTCCCCAGGCCCCACTGCCTCCTGCTCTGGGCTGGGCCCTGTCCCCTCCCAGTTGTCACTGGGGGCTGCATGCCTCAATCCAGTGCTGTCCTGAAGCAGAGCTGGGGACACTGTGGCCTGGGCCCCGGGGTCGAGCGCAAGCACCCTGGGAGTAAAGGCTATGTGGACAGCACTGACCTCGAGAGCCGGCCCCCCCATCTGCCCGGCCTTGCTCCCCGGGGACCCCCTCCAAGGACACCGAGGTTTCCCCACAGGAGGCCCCCCTGCACCCCAGGCTCAGGCCTGGGCGCGTGCACGGCAGTCCTCTGCAGGGAGCCCTCCCTGTGGCCCCCGCCCTCCCCTCTTCTTCCTGCTCCCTGAGCTCTCCCGCCCTCTCCCTCCTCATGCTGTGCTATGATCCCTCGGGGGCGGGGAAGCCACAGAGGATGGGGAGCCAGGCTCCACACGGTGCTACTCACTGCAGGGCAAATACCAGGCAGTGGCTGGGGTGGGGGCAGCTCAGGCCTGGAGCCTGCCCCAGAGCTGAGCCGATCCCCCCCAGCACCTGTGGCACAGCCCGTGCTCCCAAGTCCCAGCACCCGTGACCCTGCGCCTGCCATGTGGAGGGCAGGTGTACAGGGCACTGCCGGTGCAGGGGGTGCTGAGGCTGGTGCAGCGGGCGCTGGGCTGGGAGTGACATGCCTCCGCCCCCACCTCCGCCCCCACCCCAGGAGAACAGGAGGGAGGGGAGATTCGGCATGGGACCCTCTCATGGGGGAACGACCCCCACGGTGGCTCAGGACAGACCCAAAAGCCCTTCCTTGAGCCCTCTGCCCTTCTGCCCCCAGGAATGCCGCTCCCACTGACAGTGACCAGCCAGCAGACCCCTTACAGACAGGATGGACCCAAAGCGCCCAGGGGCGCAAGGAGCAGGAGGCAGCACGCCAGACCCGGGCTCAGGATGCACCCCTGCTCCACGCGGTGTGGGCTGGGGGAGGCTAGCCTCTGCCTCAGAGCCCACCCACCCATATGGGGCCCGATCGGACAGCAGACTGGGCTGAACGTGCCCCCAGGACCCTTATGCACTGGAACTCCAGGCCGCAGAGCTCAGGAGGAGTGTCCATGGTGGAGAAGCCGCCGCCCGTCCATCACACAAGACTAAGAAGGCGCAGAGCCCCCAGCAGGTCAGGTTTATGAGCCAGTCTGTGTCACGGTGGTATAGCGGGAGCTGGGCCCACAGTGATACTCTCCAGGCCAGAAACTCCTGCCCCCAAGTGGGTCCACCAGCAGAGGAGCCTGCCTCCCGGTCTGAGGTCTGCGTCTTCCCACCCAGCTCAGGGAGTCAGCGACAGCCTGGGGAGGGGTCCTGGCCCAGGAGACGGGCTGCCCAATGCATCCTCCCCACCCTGGGGTCCTTGATGGATTTTGTGCGGGCCTGAGGCACGGTGGGTAGTAGCGGGTGGACTCACAGTGCCTCAGGCCATTCATAAAACCTGCCCACAGGCCCCACCAGACGGGAGACTTCCACTCAGCAGCCCATCCCTCCTGGTGGGGGCCCCACAGCCAAGGAGGAGCCTGGAGAACTCTGAGCAGCCCGGGGTCACTGTGGCTGGTGGCAACTAACAGTGAGACATTGGTCGTGGCCAAAACTGTCCCCGTGGCCTCTGGGGGCCCAGCCTGGAACTAGTGGTCAGACAGGGGAGCCCACCCCCAGGCAGGAGGTGTCCGCAGGCCCCTTGGGTAACCAGATTGCCCTGGATACCCCCTGGGGACCCCCATTTCAGGGTTAGGAAAGGAGACTGGGCTGAGCAGTTGGGGGCTGGGCCCTGTCCTCACCCTTCAGAGCAGACCCTCCAGCCCAGTGTCCCTCAGGGAGACCCACCGTTGCCCTGGGCCAGGGGTGACCTCTCAGGCCAGCC